TGTGGGCCCATACAAGAGGTCAACTAAAAAGAACTTAACTCAGGTAACATAACCTTAACATAAGCTGAACAAAACAGACCTAACAAGACTGAGACATGGGGGGAAAATTGCCCCTAATGTGGGACATTTTATGTTTTTCAGACTTCTGTACCATATTGCGACGTGAAGCCAATGTATTAAATCAACACCCAATACCATTTTAAAAACCTCAGGATGTTTCCTAATCAAAAAGAGAAAATACAGATAACACATTCCTAAAGGAAATGCCAGACATATGCTCTCTGAGTGCAAATTCTTTGAGACAATCGCCGACTTCCTAATGTGGGACAGGTGTGTCCCTAATGTGGGGCCAAAATCAACTTGAAGATAGAAGATCTTCTTTCTTCTTCTGAAAGGTCTATGGCCAAAATCAACTTGATTCATGTAGAATATAAAAATCTTAATTTATTTATAATATTGGTTATGGATGGATTAAACATGAATAATTGAACACCATCAGACAAATACTCCAATGATAGTTTTGATGCCTTTATTATAAAGATATTAAGCAACTGTTGTCACAGGCCTGTTATTTAGATAGAAGAGACGAAGAATAGAGTTAAATGCTCAGAATTCCTGACTGTTCTCTAGTTCATTTTATTTAACAAACACATACAACCACAACAGGCATAGCCTAGGCCTATTTGAAGGAACTATATAAAATCTTGTGACTTGCTAAAAAAAAACAATCCACCATCATCTTCTATAAACCCATTGTTCTCTGCACAGCTTTCATGGAACCAACGTTAACAGATTGCACAAGAAAGCCAGTCCTCTGTGGCCTTGGGGTCCTTTGTGTTACCATATGAATGCTGGCAGATAGCACAAGCTTCCTGGTTCACCTGTCTAGTTTTCTCTGTAGTTTTCTTTTTTCCCTTTTTCTTTTCCCGTCTCTCTTTGACGAAGGAAAAGTGGACATCGCTAGTCAAATCATAGGAAGGAGGCTTTGCCCTCTGGGGGCTGGTAGTTGGCCGTTCTCTGACAGGAAGGGTGATCAGTGGTTTAAAGGAGACATCTGGCTGTGTCACCACTTTGACTTATTCTGGTGCAGGAGGGGGCACATCTGGTTCCACTGGAGTCTCTCCAAAGGATCGCTCAGAAGTTTGTGATGGCATGAAAAGATTGTTGCTGTTCTTGGCCGGGTTGAATGGGAATATCCCTGACCCATGGACTCCAGCCTGGGCATTTGATTGTGTAGCAGCTTCCTTCCAGGCCTTGGAAACAGAGGTATAAACAACTCTTGCCTTTGAATATGATGAGCGTGGGTCCATACCCACCAGCCGCATTGATGCTGGCAAGACAGGCCTTGGTCTCGCCCTTCTCAGCACCGGTAACCTCAAAACTAGGTGACCCAAGCTCAGCAACCACCCTAATTGACAGGAAGTGGTCCTGGAGCCCTGTTTCATCAGTTCCATATATGGTCGGGAGCATTCTCCAACCCCAGACTCTCAGTCGTAGTTTTATATTTGTTAAACCAATCTTTCACCACAGTGGGGTTGAACCCTGCAGCCCTCGAGGCTGAGGGCACCTCTGGTTTTCGGATACTCAGGTTCTTGTTTCTTTTCAAGAAATCCCAATCCAGTTTCTGTATTTCCACCATCATAAGGGGGAATCCTCGTTTCTAATGTACATATAACTTCCGCCAGCTCAGCTTCATCCTCCAGGTTAATAAGTGGTTTCCTTCCAATTGTGTGGTGAAAGTGGCCATTCCCTTTCACCACATTGCCTTTTGCTCTGCGATGGAGAGTTGATGTAGGCACATTCCATGCCCTGGCCAACAGTCTTAGCTGAGGGACCCCACCATCTTCAACGATCTTCCTATACTCCTCTAAGGCTCCTTTCATCCTATCCTGCCTCCACCGATTCAGTTTCTTTCTCTTATCCTTTCCCTTATTCTGCCTCTTGTTGTGCTTCTGACAATCTCTCCGTGTCTTTCTCAGCTTTGCCATTTTGATCTGAAACACGTCATTAATAATGAAATGCATAAAATAAAGTGGAATGGTTTCAAGTTTTTAAAGTCAGAGCTATTTTTTCATTTTAAGACACCTATCTTCACACACTCACAACCAAAAATAGCCTTTAAACCGCCATCTCCCAAAGAACAAAAAGTTCCCATGACCCTAAACATCTGTAGTAACAGCCTTCTAATATTACATAACAAAACTACACACCTGTAAATAACCATTTTTGTCCCACTAACCATGCCCCACCACACATTTTTGACTGACCGATGTACTTTCCAATTGTCCCACATTAGGCTAATCATGCTGTCCCACTTTACGAAACCGCATTTCCTAATCTGGGACACTAGGAAATTTTATAAAAATAGAAAATATATAGTTTACACATACAAAGTTATAGTATTTTTTGATGGAAAAACATTTCATAACTGCATTGGGCCAAAAATTTGCATGATTGTTTGGTTTAAAATGTATTTATACTCCTTAATAAGTTTGTCAAAAGTCTGTCACTAACCTTTGGGTGGTCGTCACACAAAATGGTTCCGGTTTGATAATGGCTCCACCCTCATTTATGACTGGACATTTGAGAGGTGGTGTGAATTTGAAACATGACACCACAGGTTTGGCTAAGCCAGAGTCTGATTGGCATTCATGTATTTATGGGGGACCTACACACACACTAGACCTTAGATGTCCCTCATTAGGGCAATTCACCCTATATAGTGGCTGATCAGACCCTAACCCCCAGCAGTAACTCCCCAGGAACTGGTAACTCAAAAGAAAAGGTATTAGTTTCACAGAACATAACTTAAAGATGATGAACCTGAAATTAGCTAAATTGACAAAGCTAACTAAATGTGTGCACCCAAATAACTATTAAAACTGTTTTTAAAACTAAAGTGTGTGTCCAGTTATTTTGTATGGGGAAAAAATATATATATATATATATTTTTTATTTTACCAGGAAAGAAATCCATTGAGATTTTTAATCTCTTTTACAAGGATGTCCTGGCCAAGATGTGACAATATGTAATGTGCTCAAAACAAATGAAAGAGTTACCATCGTGAATTATTTCCATGTGTGGCTGCTAGTGCGGCCATCACATACCCCATGGATGTTCAGTCTGTGTTCAGGACAGAGCTGAACACCTCTTTTCTCTCAGCTGCACAGGTAGGCTGGAATGAAATACAGCTGCTCGTTACCTTCTATAAATTGAACTAAAAGACGTTCTGTTAGCTTCCTGCTCAGCTTCCAGTCTGAAGGGGAGATGTTTGTTAACCTGCTTCACTTCTCCAGCCGTTTGGGAACAGACTTTTGTTGGTCTGTAGAAGCTGAAGCATTACCTGACACACCGACACCGTACTTTTACTCCCAGAATATTTTGGTCCTCCGAGATTCACCGTTACTTTCTGTCATTCGGACAATCAAAAACTCTGACCTCCAGATTAAAGGAGCTGCTCTGATAACAGCACCTGTCAGGTAGACATCCAGGGTTTCTGCGGGGTTTAAAAAATAAAAATAAAAAGGCCTCAAAGTCTTAAATTCGCTGAAGTTTGTGTTGTAGGTGTTAAAATTTTTTAAATGGTTAGGCTATATATTTTCCAACGTCCATGTAACGCTACCTCTAATGCTCATTGAAATGGCGCTCGTTAATGATTTTCAGTGAACTACAGCAACACTCAACGCATGGCTGCCTCCCTCTCCTCGTTCAAAGAATGAGCGAATGTGAGTGGCAGAAAGTGACGGTGAAAGTTAGCGGAGGATAAGATCAACATGAGGTTAAATTAAAGAAGGACTGTTGACCACGGAGGAGCTGAGGTTGGTAATGTTAAAGCAAATTAGGGATGCAAACTAACGTAAGTCCATTGAAGCTAATGAGATTATTCTTTTGGATTTTGATGTACAAATGAAATGCTTGTAATAATACAGAAGGGAGGTGGTTCTCATGTTGCCTATTTATGTTAATTTCTACAAATGTATAATGCAGTAAATTAAGACACAAAAGGAAAACATGGCTGATCCTATCTGTAATGATTCTGAGGTCATGTGTTTTCCTGCCATTATAAGGTGGTGAGGCTCAAAACAGCTTGGTGCTGCGAAATGAATATAAAATCACTGTGGAGAGCATCAAAATTTCAAGTTTACTAGTAGTAATTTTGCTGAGTGAGTTTCCATTAGTATTTGAGTTTAAATTGTGCACAATTACATTTATTGAGTAAAGAATAAGTGGAATTTAATTTTAATAAGCATCAGTTAATCAATGTAACGTAGTATGCGGAAATTAAAGGTTTTTAAAAATGTATTATATTTAAGTTAAAGTTTATTCAAAGATATTATTACCACTACTTTAAGAGTTTGAGGTAATAAGTTTCCAGAAATATTTTGAGTGATCTGAACTTATTCGGATTTACATTGTACCCAATGTGATTCTGTAGCAAGGGGGACTAAATAATAATTTATCATTTAGCCGACACTTTAATCCAAAGCCATTTACAATTGCTACATATGTCAGAGGAGCACATCTCTGGAGCAACCACAGTTTTGTAAAAATAATCTGCAGCTAAATAAAACTAACATGAGCTGACTGAATTAAGATAACTCAAATGTATATCTTCCAAAGTTACAATATTTTAACTTTAACTGGAAGACCGCCTGGAAAAAACATGATCCCCCTCCTTCAAGAGAAAAGGGCATCAAAATGAATATGCAAGTGTGTTTGCACCTGGAATGTATGGTCACTTGGTTTCTTGTGTAGGAAGCCAAAGCACGAAAAAACAAATGAGCTGCAAAATTATGTTTGACTGTGAATTGAAGCTATTGGTTAAATACAAATATGTGGCCTGCTCAGGTAAAGTTCAATCTTGAAGGTGTACATTATGGTGGCGTACGTCTCTCTCAGCTTGATGACATATAAGATATAGTGGCATATGCTGCTTTTGGCTCTGGACAAGTGTTATCTTAATCCATGCTTCAGTCTCACTCAGCCTCTGTTTATGAAGGCTTTATGAATGTGCACGGGTAAGTCAGTCAGCTCCTCTAGTCATCAGACAAAAAGCCTTTCTATTGGTGGCCCCCATCAGTCAGAGTCCTAATCCAGCACACACACATTATATAAAATGTCCATCCAATCCCACACCACTCAGAAACAACTACTCCAACGCTCTGCGGTCTGCTTGTGTGGCTCTGAGATACAGGACTGGACTGGAGCATCATGGTGTTTATAGTGGATCTGCTGATGATGCTCATCCACTTAACCTACGCCATCCTTACCGCCATCATACAGACTTTATTCCGGCCGAGGCTGAAGTGCATTGATGGGGAGCTCTGCCTGATAACAGGGGCCGGGGGCGCGCTGGGTCGGCTGTTCGCCCTGGAATTTGCCAAAGAGGGAGCGCACCTCGTGCTGTGGGACTGCAACACGGCTGCCAACGAGCAGACCGCCAAGTTGGCGCGCGAGCTGGGCGTTCAGGTGCACGCGTACACAGTGGATCTGTCCAAGCGTCAGAGCATCTATGAGATCGCGGACAGGGTGAGAGTAGAGGTCGGGGAAGTCTCTATACTGGTCAACAACGCAGGCGTGGTGGCCGGACGGAGGCTGCTGGACTGTCCTGACGAGCTTTTGGAAAGGACTCTGCTGGTCAACTGCCACGCGCTGTTTTGGGTGAGACTTTGACGCACGCACCTTTTACGCACAAACAACTGAAACTGAAAAGTTCCTCCACCTTTGCTAGACGCAGAGATAAGGCACTCATGTACCAGCCTGACATGAATTACATAACATCAATTCATTATGGTCCTCCCCGCGGGCTCTGGTCGGTATTTGTGCACTGATGTGTGAAGGGATCGGAGCAGCAGAGCTGGTGCATCACAATACAGGAAGGCCATGTGACTGAATGCGTCCAAGTTAGAAGTAAGCGGTAACCTCATACACTCATCCCCAGAATAAAAGGAGCCCGCGGGAGCCCACCAGCTAAGACAGCATGTGATCTCCCCCTTGATCGTCTTAAAGCCTCGTGCTCATTTAATAAAAGGATAAGCTTATTAGTACATCAGAGACAGACATACAGCGGGGGTCATTTTTTAGATGTGTGTTATAAATTAAGATTGTCCATACAACACATATGAAGGGCATATAAAGCATGAAGTTTTGTTATAAATTAAACTCCTCAACAGTTTATACAAGTTAGTTAATGGATTCACTGATTAGATGATTTATTGAAAACGAATAGGAAATTAAAAATGCCAAACATGTCCTGGTTCCAGCTTCTCCAGTGTGAGGATTTGGTGTTCTTTCTAATTATTTTAATAGTTAACATTTATTTTTAATAAAATTTTTAGGTTTTGACTGTTGGTTGGACAAAACAAGCCTTGTGAAGATGTCACTTTGTGCTCTGGGTAATTGTGGTGAGCATTTCTCACTATTTTCCTAAGTTTAACAGTCGGTTAATGAAAAGCAGATTAATACTAATATAAAATAATCATTAGCTGAAGACCTGTAAATAGTTCAAAATGAGCCCCACCTCAACCAATGACAACAGTAAAAATTTTTACATTAATGGATGAGTAATAATGATATATAATAGTAGGCTATAACATTCACAAGCATTGAATATTTTCACTTTAAATAGCTTACTTTATACATGTTCGTGAATATGAGTAACATTTGTATGGCATTACTTGACTATTTTTACACTGAGGTGTTAGTACTTTTACTTACTCCAATACTTCCTCCACCACTGCTGGGCCCTTATTAACTCCCACTCTCTGTGCATGTTGTCCTGTATTCTGCAATAAGCCTACTACATGGCCCCAGCTTTGAAGTTTAGGAATATGCACCATATGAGCACAATATCAGCTTAAACAATAAAGGTCTAAAAAAAAAAAAAAAAAAAAACAAGATTTTGACTCAAGTTTAAGTAAATGAAAGCAAACTCATTGATACTGACATAAGCATGGGGCCCAATATACTTCTGTGCATGTTTAATCAACCCACATGGGGTCACTGGTGGGTGAATCAGGCCACCTTCTGTACTTCTATTAAAGCGTCTTTCTAAACCAACAGATGACAAAGGCCTTCCTGCCTCAGATGAAAGCAAAGAACCATGGTCACATTGTAACCATCGCCAGTACTCTTGGGCTGTTCAGCACTGCATGTGTAGAGGTAAGACACGTGCTTAATGACACAAATCTGAAAACAAACCATTTATAGAGAACATTTAAATGCTCATCACTCCGCTGGTTTGTTTACTTTCTTCCTCCAGGACTACTGTGCCAGTAAATTTGGAGCTGTGGGTTTCCACGAGTCCCTGACGCACGAGTTGCGAGCAGAGGACCAGTATGGCATCAAAACCACTTTAGTCTGCCCTTATATTGTAGATACGGGGATGTTTGCAGGCTGTGAAATCAGGTGAGATGCCACAATTCATCATTTTGTAACTTTTGTGGTTGTTAGATGCGACAAAAATAGTTGCTGTATTCTCCACTCTTTGATATCTACCAGGAAGGAGCTCCGGAGTCTAATTCCACCTCTGGAGCCCCTCTACACTGTGCAGCAGTCCATGAAAGCCATTTTAGGCGAACAGCAAATGATCTGCATTCCTCGCCTCATGTACATCCCCCTTCTCACACGAGCGTGAGTATTGATCAGGTTATTTATCAAACATGCAGCATAATCTGTTACACCTATAGAGACACATGCCATTATTGATGAAAAAAAATATATTTAGAGTAATGTATTGGTACCAACTCTTGTTTTCCTCCCTTTCCTTCCCTAGATTGCTGCCATGGGACGCAAATGTAGCAACATACCGCTTCATGGGAGGTGACAAATGCATGCTACCCTTCATCAAGAATGTTGAACTGAATTCCTCCAACGGCCACAGCAAATCCTCCTAAGACCTCTCTGTCACACTGTCTTACAAGCTTGTTAAATTATGCAAGAGTGTGGACACTAAATGCTTATACTGTGCATTCTTAATACATGGATTTGTCATCTGAAGGGAGAACCCCTGCATGTTTATTTCTACACTGGGCTGAAGGGTAATTTCATTCACAGCCATGTTACTTTGCATACATGTTATTTCTGGTTATAAATAACCATAACTTGGTCTAAAGGGGAGCCTGGGATTGCTTACAAAAAGGAAATTCTTGAGGTTATTCATTAAAAACTACACTGGAGGCCATATAGCCAGTAAAATTCAGACATTACTGAAAATATTGTTCACATAAAAGAGACTGCAGTGAAAACAGATCTATACAAGTGCCTCTTTTTATTCACATTAACAAACGGCGCGGGAACAAAGACTGGGCAAATCTACAGGAAACATGCAACAGAAAAATATTAAGCATCATCTTTGAGCCACAGACTACAGTCTCCATAAGCGTAAAAAGGAATTCAAAACATACAAAAGAAGCAATAAAGAAATCCCTCCCATATGATTCAGATGTTCTGACAATACAGAAATGCACCTCTGCTGCTGCTGCTGTTATTGAATTAAACTGTCAATTGTATCAGAACCTGATAACAAAATCCTTGTTAGCCTTTGCCACACAGCAAACCAAGAGCTCAAACACAAAGCAGTTTTTCAGTTAAGTCAACTTTTGGTCATGTCTTTAAAAAACCCTAAAAAAAGCTCCATCAGAGATTTCCTCCTAAATTCAGGCAAAATGATCATTTCTCTGGCCAAATCCATCATAAAGTGTCAAGTTAAACCAAATCTGTAAAGACTAAAGTTCAGCTGAAGCAGGTCTGTCATGCGACCTGAGGTCACTCTGGACACTCCTGCAGTGTATCGTGGTCTCCGTATTAAGTGAACACCATCACATCAGTTTCAAACCAGCTGCACACTGGCTGCCTGTAAGTACCCCTGCAGGAACTGGAGGGCTTCTGCATTCAGACTGGTGCTCAGCATTGAGGGAACCTGCATCCCCACAAAAAAAAAAAAGGAGACAAGAATTACCGATTTGCTTTCCACATCATCTCTAGCTCAGTGCCATTTAGTCAGGCAATAATCTTAACATTTCTTTAATTCAAAACATCACTGTAACTTCAAAAACACATTAGTTTTGGCACAAGCTGCTAAATATTTCCTGCATGTCTAAACATACCCGTCCTGGACAGGCAGTTGAAAGCTTGTAGAGTGACTGGGCCAGCAGGATCTTGGGATTGCCAACAGCGTCTCCGATCGGGTCGTGCTCCTTCTTCCCGGCGAATGCCAGTTGCGAGAATGCTGTCTGGTAGCCTGGGGCGTCTTCTATGTCGATGAAGTGCTCATCATCTGGAATGCTGTCATCTTCTGGCAACTCAAACAGACCAATGAGCGCCTGGAGCAGAGGGGTCCTGAGCAGACACGTTCAAATCCAAATGATTGGTTAGTTTTACGCAGGACAAAAAATTAACCAAGCAATAGTAACTCGGTACATATCAGTAGAGCATTTCAGCCATATACTAGATGAATGCAAAATTTTGGGAACGCCATTACAGAAGTGCTAACACATTCAGCCTGTTGTGATGTAAAATATGTTTATAATGGTTTGTGTTTAAAAACCTGATTTCCATCTCCATAAAAGAGATTGTGATAATTAGATTGAGTTGTCTAAACTGTCAAACATTTACAAGGCCACTTTGTGAAGTTAAATTAATCCAAATCTTGAGGCAATGCTACCATCAAGCATCAAAATCTACAGCAATGCATAATTTTTACACTTTGCTCAACAAACCGTGCAGGTCAGCTTCTGCTCAACTGATAGGTCATTATGAAGTAGCTTACTTTTAAATCAGGGTTCCTTAACTTCAGCATCCAATTATATGCATTGCTAACTACTTTACGTAACTGGGAAAATATAAAATATATATTACAGTACTACAAATTCTAACTACTATTAACCAAGTTCCCTTAAACTGGCATTCATTAACATAAATAACAGATTTGTATTAAAATTTTAATTCCCTCAATCAGAACAGTCATGTCTAAGATGACAGATGATTTATCTGAAAGGCCCTGCACGTGTACGTTTCCTTCAGGCTGATTTCTTACCAGAGTTTAGTGTACTCGGTGTCCATCATTGCAGGACATTCGGTAAGGACTTTTGTAATGCCAACAGCGCAGATCTTCTTTTCAACTGCTCCAGACACCTTCTGAACCTCTGGAATAATAATTTTCTCCAACACCATACCGAACATTCTGCAACACAAAAAGCAAACAGGATTCATTACACTGTACATTTTGCCACCGGTCTTCTGCAATTACACTAAACGCAAGACACAGTGGCAACCTGCATAGGCATTGGAATGAGGCAGCCATTACTCACTATAATTATACATATAAACTCATTAACTTCCAGTAAACAGTGTGCCTGAGACCAGTTTGTCTCACTCCCTTTCCCTTTTTCTCACCAATTATTGTTGCAAGAGGGGATTCGGATGGAATAATGCAGTTTAGAAACTGCTTCTTTGTCAACATGAAACTGGGTCGCCTGTGAGATCCATTGTAACCGCTGTGAATCCAAGCTGACTGCAGCTTCCATCCTTCACAACGAGCCACCTTTGAAGCTTAAAAGGGCTGAGTGTTTGAAATGATCAAAGTTTTCCTTTAAAATATGTCCTATTTCTAGAAATTGGTGCTTGTTCGCAGCGAGCAACATGGGTTTAAACAGCTCGAGTGGGCCCTCAAATTCAAAGGGACAGCCAGCATTTGAATCTTTTGTGGCATTAAGGTCAACAGAACTTGTCATATTCCCACTGCTTAAACTCTACACCGATGGATAAACCCACAAAATAACTGCTGTCACACATCACAGGGTACTTTCAACATCTTGTGGTTTATATTGAAAATACACTCACTTTGGCTGGATGCTGTCAAAAATCTCCTGAAGTGCAATGGCTCCATATTTGACACAATACAAGTTGACAAACACCAAGAAACCTGTGAGAAAGACAGACAACCAGTGAAAACATTGACACTTGAAGCTCACCATTATAAGACAGTAGATAATAAGCGGGACTTTAAAAAGGCATGTGCTCGGTCACTGCCAGTGTTTGACAGATTAACAGCTCTGAACAGAATGCTGAAAATGAGATGGTGGTACTAACTCTTGATGAACTTGGTGGTTTTGGAGCTTTGTAGCCTCTGGAAGAGCAAAATGAAGATCTGTTTCCTGTACTGAGTGATCGACTCTCTGGCAACAGACAGCAAAACATATCATGACCTCAGTCAATTTCACCAGGTACGACATTTTACAGAGGATCCACTGTGAACACAACTATAATGGACTTACGGGGGCATGTGCTCTATGATGCTGTTGAGAAGGTAAAAACCTTGGTGGTCATTGGCCTTAGAGGCAATAAGCTTTTGGAAAACTCCAAGCAAGCCAGGCTGAGGGGGAAAGATGAGCAAGACAAGACCCAAGTGTCAACATAATGGTCATGCAATTAATAAGTCATACAATCTATAAATGTCAAACATAAAACTAATGAGATAAAATCACTACAGACAAGTATGACATAATTTTCTTTACTGCACACAACACTGCCATCACTTACTATTTTATCCGCAGCAGAGACGGCGATAGTGGCACTTCCCTTCTCCAGGTAAGCCTGAAGCAGGCGTACCAGAGGGGGGATGTTTCCTGTCCGTTCCCATAGAGCGGGCTGCAGCAGGTGAGGGAACAAAGCCATGTAGGAGGAGGGAATAGAGTTGGAGTGGATCTCTAGAAGGAGAGACATCACCTGGAACACGTATGGAAGAAACTCTGCAACAGCAAACAAAAGCAGCATGAGTGGAGGGGGTCAGCCACAAGTTGTTTACCAGCATCTGATCTACACGTATATAAAGTCAGTTCCAAAAGTAATTTACACACCCTGGACATCATTCTGAAGGATCTCAGTGAACACGGGGAAGAGTGCTTCCTCGAAGCTGCTGACAGTGGTGGGGTTGGCCTTGCAGGTGATCCGCACAGACAGGCACAGGGACTCAAACAAGTAGTGGTTAAAGTGAGGCTTGCTGGGATTCTGAAAATGGGGGACAGGTTTTGGATTAGTTGACACATGTATCCCTCCAAACAGTGATCATCATCCGGTGGCCTGCGGGCCACAGCTGGCCCGCTTAAGCTTCCCAATCTGGCCCGCTGTCATATCAAAAATGTGTCTACAACGGTCATTTTTAGCATTTTATGACAGCAGACCAGTTTGAGACAGGCTGCACAGCTCCACCTTCTCAGCCAGGTAATATTAACCAACTCCTCCCACTTTTGCTGTTCGCAGATAAAGATAAAGTCAGATAAAGGACTGCTCACATAATTATGGAAAAAGACCAATTATTGCCTGATAACAGTTTCTAGTTAACCACCGTTAACTATAGGTGTCACATAATTTTGCAAATATTTAACAGCAGACTGTATAAAAAAAAGTTGATTAATATTTCCTGCCAATCACAACTGCATCCTGCTGTTACAATTACAGATTTTAACCATCACTCCTCAGTGAACTGCCTCCTTGGCGAAAGTCTGAGAGCATTTTCCAATTAAGTAGGGTGGATATCATTATGCAATTGCCATTTGAGTCTGTTCACAGTGATATAAGCTAATAAAAAGCATTTATTTTGTGAAATTTAAATGTTAAACACTAGTATGCTAATAAAGCCTAAATAAAACCCTTTTTTCCCCCTTTTCTTTTTTATATAAATCTAACCCTCACAGCATCTGCTCAGAAAAATTCTGGCCCTGCCCTAAACAAACAAGCATCTTTGTGAATCTATCTGTATTCATAAATAGTAACAAAGTGTGTGTTACCTTGCTGACTAAGAGGAGCTTATGAGTGAGCTGACCAATCAGAGTGGGAATGTAGGGAACAATGGCTTCCTGCAGTAGGGAGAAGCTGCGCATGATGGCTTTAAAAACAAAATAAAAAGAAGTTAGAATAGAAAACAAAAACCATGATAAGGTTACTTAAATACGTCTGGAGTTTGTCTGACGTTGACTGGGAAACATTAAGGGAGAACATTTAGATGACAGAAGTCTGATTTACCTTTCATGATGTATTCATTTTCTGCAGAACCAGGAAGAGCTAGTGCCTTGAACAAGTTGTTGAGCAGCTGTTCAGTAAAAGGTGCCATCTCTGCAGGAGTGATACTGAAAAATATACAGAGGCTGATTGGCTTACGTAATGGGT